GACTTACGAAAGTACTTACTTAACAATATGAAATAAAATAAGAACAGTTGAACTGGACTTTATGAGAAGATGTCTACAAATCACAAGAGCAGATAGAATAAGAACTTAGGAAATATGGAACAGAATGGAAGTAGAATGCTCAATTACAGAAAAGTTGGAAACAGAGCCCTGCAGTGGTACCGACATGTACAAAGAATGCCAGAGCATAGGTGGCCAAAAAGAATATTAAACTTGGACCTGCCGGGAAGAAGACGGAGAGGAAGACCTGGTACAAGATGGAAAACATACGTCGGAAATGCTATGATAGATAGAGACCTTAGAAAAGGTGACTGGGAGAATAGAGTGCTGTGGAGGACGAGAACGGCGAACTCGTAATGGAAAAAGCCGAAGAAAAAGAAGAAGAAGAAGGTATTTAATGCATGCGTCCTACCTGTTCTGACATATGGTGCCCAGACGGGGACGCGTAGCAAGAGCAACTTAGATAGAATAAAGAAAACTCAAAAAGCTATGGAAAGACAAATGTTGGGAATATCGTTGAGAGATAAAAAGAGGAACGAGTGGATAAGATGCAAAACCGAAACAACAGACGCTGTCGAACATACATTAAAATTAAAATGGAAATGGGCTGGGCATAACGAATGATATCAGGATGGAAGATGGAATAAAGAAATTGGCCGCTGGAGACCATATACTCCAAAAAGGTCAAGAGGTCGACCGCAAATGAGATGCAAAGATGACATTGAGCAAACCGCAGGTCCAATGTTGAAAAGGCAAACAGGGATCTCATCACAGTCAGTTAAATTGACCTAACTAACATAGCAAAACCTAAGCTTATGCCATAGAATTAAAGGAGAAACCTCTACTTTCTTTAACATTATCAATGGTCTAAGACAGGGGAACGTGCTGGCGTGTCTCCTCTTTAATAATGCCATGAAAAAGGCAATTAGACAATTACATATTAGAATGAATGGAACTATTTTTAGTAGATTAATGGAAATTTTCCAATTCGAGGCCCGAATCCAGTGTCCAACTTCTAAAGAATTATCTATTTGTGTTCCCTGGTCACTTCTGACCAATTTGCATATAAGTGGCCTTGGCATTTTTTTGCAATGACAAATCAATTTTGAGTTCTTAATTGCATCAATGATAACTTTAATTCCTAAGATAGTGGTAATCTTAAATATTCTGTTAATGCTATTTTTATTTTCAAATTACAGCATCAACATGTTTAGTATACTTTCATCTATTTTACTTATCGTTGCACGTCATCCGCATCATAGCTCGTGAGGTCACATGATACCAACACGAAATATTTAGGCGGTAGGTGTGTTTGTTTTTAGTATCGCTTTGCCGAGTACACTGGCATTACAGCCACTAGACATATTTTATTATATACGCGTAGAAATAATATTTAAAGATTTCTATTAATGTTAATTTAAAGACATACACAAGAGTATGTTTCATTTAATTTGTATAAATGCAATATAAAGCGTTTTTATGAAGAACATTTGGCCGGAACACACTGTAACTTTAATCGAACCAAGGTGATATATTCGCATAAATTTATAACACTTATTTGACAGTTGCGGTGTTGACACTTTTTGTACTTTATTATTTTGAATTTTAAAGTGAATACCTCTTGGTTTATATTTATACCTATTTGATAAAATCTGTTCTTTTTAGAACAAAATTAGTGTGTATTATTAATACTATTAATATTAGTGTGTGTAATATTAATTTGTTTTGTTGTATTATCCACTTTTGGAATAATTATGTGACCTATTTGATTTAAAAGGGATTCAGTTTTTTTTATACTTTGGCAACTATGTCAACTTCGATCTCTGTCAATGATAATGACGTGCAACGGTAAGTAAATTAGATGAAGTATAGTTCCTTATTGGGAGGAAAAGAGGTAGAATGCGAAAACATGGAGTTGCTTCCAGTTTACTCCACTTAGCCTCTCCTACTGAAATCCGACTCTCACCTTCCCGCTGGTGCTCCCTGTTAAACCGAGCCACCCAACTGGAGATCCAGTATCCAACCCGGGTGGAAAGTTGGGTCGGAAACTGACGAGAGTGGGTGAACTGGTCCTCCAGGTTGGGGCTTGGGCGTAGGGTTAACACTCGACACCGTAAAAACCATCATGTTACGAAAATTCAGGAAAAAGTTTCCGGACTAAAATCTAGACGACGACTTGGCCAGAAAAAGGAAAAAGAGTTACAATTAAGCACGTGGAATGTGAGATCCTTATATAGAACTGAAGCATTGCGGAAGCTCCTCGACTTCCTGGATAAATATAACATAGATATCACAGCGCTTCAAGAGGTTAGGTGATTGGGAAAAAAATATTCGAGAAAAAGAAATATACAATGAACTATAGCTGCCACCCAACAGAGCATAAATTTGGAACAGGATTCATAGTCAGCAGCAAAGTGAAGCACTTAATAATAGACTTTAAAGCCATAAGTAACAGAATATGCAAAATAAGAATTTGGGGAAAATTTTTCAAATATTTAGTAGTTAATGCCCATGCACCCACAGAAAATAAGCTAGACGAAGAAAAGGATGAATTTTACGAAAAACTGGAAAAAATAATACGGAACTGCCCTAGAAATGATATAAAAATAGTACTTAGAGATTTCAACGTAAAAATAGGAAAAATAGGAAAAAAAGATGATTACCTACCAACCATTGGAAAATATAGCCTCCATAATGAGTCGAACAACAATGGAACACACTTAATACACCTTGCAGCTTCAGTGAACATGGTAATAGCCAGCACATGCTTCGAGCGTAAACATATACTGTTAAAAACATAGATAATTACTACAATGAGTGCGAAAATATCCTAAAAGAAGTAGCCACAACAGTTGTAGTAAAGAAGAAACAAGAAAGAAAGGGGACAGAATGGTATTATGCGGAATGCGCACAGGCAACTCAAAAAAAGAATCAGCCGTATGGAAAACTCCACAACAGAAGGACAAGACAAAATCAAAAGGAGAACAAACAGATGAGACAAGCAGAGAAAAAGATACTAAAACAAAAGAAAAAATGACATTTAGAAAACCAGCTACAGAACTAGAAAGGTTCAATTCACAAAGCAAAGCGCGAAAATTTTATAAAAATGTTAACCCAAATAGAAAAGAGTTTAAAGCTAGACTAACCATAATAAAAGGTAAGGAAGCCGAAATTATCAATAAGCCGGATCAATTAGTGGAAAGACGGGCGGAGAATTTTGCTGAGAAATAAAATATAGGCAACCAAGAAGTGACTGACATAAATGATCACAGTGGAGACGTAAACGATGAGAGGGAGAAAAATAATATACCAACAGAAGAAGGAAGTTGCCAAGGTAATAAAAAGGTGTAAAACCAACAAATCCCCTGGTAGAATATGGTATACCCCCTGAGCTGTTCAGGTATGGAGCAAACGTAATAAAAAAATACATAATAAAACTTGTTGCATCCATTTGGAGAAAAGGAAAACTGCCAGATAGTTGGAATATAGGTATTATAATACCTATTTACAAGAAAGGGGATCCACTAATATGTGACAACTATCGAGGTATTACCCTCCTAAATACGGCTTATAAAGTACTGGCTTATATACTTGATAATCGATTACTAGTATATACTGAAAAAAAAAATAGGCAAATACCAATGTGTATTCCGAAAAGAAAGGTCAGCAATTGATCAGATTTTTCTTCTCAGACAAACCTTAAAAAAGACATATGAATATGGAATTGATACCCATCACCTCTTCATATATTTTAAAAGTGCTTATGACAGTGTAGACAGAAGCGCACTTTATAATGTCATGGCAGAACTAGATATTCCGTCGCATCTAATAACATTGGTAAAGGCAACTCTTTCGAAAGTTGAGTGCAAAGTCAAGGTACAAAACAGAGTGTCAAGGTATTTTCAAACACAAACTGGATTACGCTAGGGAGACAGTCTATCGTGTATATTGTTTAACATCGCGCTAAAAAGAGCCATAGGGAAATCGGGCATAATCACCAGAGGTACGATCATCAATAGAAGTGTACAAATGTTGGCCTACGCAGATGACATTGACATAGTAACACGGACAAAACGAGACATGATACAGGCTTTTGAAACATTAGAAAAAGCCGCGAAGATAATGGGACTACAGGTTAACGTATCCAAAACAAAATACGTGAAGGTCATAAACAGCACACAAATAGCGGCACCACAAGATCTGGTGACAGAAGCACACACATTCGAAGGGGTCTCGAAGTTTATATATCTTGGAACACAAATAAATAACAGGAACCTAGTAAGCGTAAAAATTAAGAGAAGAATATACCTGCGAACAGAGCTTACCTTGGACTAAAGCAGTTCTTAAAATCACACATAATAGGGAACTTGCATAAAATTTTAAATTCGAAAAAAATGCCTTAAATCATAACAAAACATAATTTAAAATATATATCAAACAAAAAAAAGTTGTTTTTGTCTTTAGTTTGGCCCCTAAACACGATTAAAATCGAAAGAAAATTCAAATTATAGCAGCCAGTCCAAAACGCGGCCTCATTGGTCGTGACGTCATATAGTCAGAATGTTCAAAGATTGGCACATTAATTCATTACGTTTGACATTCGTTTACTTGTTATAGTAATTTTATGGTGTATTTCAGTTTTATAAATCTTTAGATAGTTGCTGTGAACTATATATTTAATAATATTTGAGTGTTTTTGTTCAGATATATTTTTTAAAATGACCGAAGAGGGTTTTTCCAAAGGCCAGTCTGATTACTTGCCCATTGTAAATATGTTTATGGTAGCCACATATTTTCAAAACGGTGAAAATTTTTCCCTGGGAGAAGTTCGGGGAGTTAAAGCAGATAACTAAACTTTCAGACTCAGTTTTAGAGGCATCAGATCCAGATTCATTTTGTGGACAAAAGGTTGGTACATTGAGTTTCAGTGGTGATGTCCCAATATCTCTACTAAAAACTATGTTTAATGATAAATTACTAACAGAATCACTACAATCTAACTTGCATTGTACACTTTTACTTCTGAATTTTATGTGAGTCTGAGTTGAAATATCACTTTTTTGATTGGTTTTAATGACACTATCAATTTTTAGAGTGTCTATATCATTTTGCAGAATACTCCCAAAACATTCTGAAGGCTGTGAAGAAGTTGAAGCAACTGCATCCTCAATTAAATGATGTTTAACCCTCTTAAGTGCTGTTATTCTAGGATAATGAGAATGTGCCCTTTTCCTATCTGGTTGACAATTAAATATGTGAGGGACAACATTTAATTTCATCTTCTTTTGGCCACCCATAAGTTTGAATTTAATATAGTTTTCCATATCATTTTCCAACTGAAACAGAATATTATATATTAAATTATTATTTTTATCTTATATATATATATATATAATATATATATATATATATATATATATATATATATATATATATATATATATATATATATATATATATATATATATATATATATATACAGTTCTAGAAAAATACTGTCTAGGTAAATATCATTCAATATGTAATGTACATCTACCAAATATAGGTACCAAGAGTTCTATCAAAAAAACACATGATCATGATATTAAATACTTACATTAAAATGATCTTCACATAAATGAAGAGCTTGAGCAGTAACTGAAATCTCCCTTCTACAGGCACGTAACCAGTTTAAACGCCGTTTTTTATCGACTGGTAATCTAATAAATATTTTGTTGGGGGTTTTAATGGTTGTACTTTTACACAATGGTACTAAACAACACTTGTAGTATTTACTTTTACTTTCCATAGTAAAAACACACACAATTCAACACTCTCTCTTTAAAAACTGTATCAAACACCAATATAAACAAAATAGTTTATACTTTTATACAAAACAGGAGACCTGACATACAGAAAATACTACCAAGTGACGTCACAAGGGTTCGCGCGCTTTTTCGATCGTTTGAAATGATTTTTATACACGGAAGATTTTAAATTTGTATTGCTAAGTCATTAAGAGTTTTTGAAGCGTGAAATTTTGGAAATCTTATTTTTAAATGAAACTGAACGTTATTATATAATAAAAAAAATGTGCAAGTTCCCTATTAGCAGAAAAACCAAGATACTAATATATGAAACTCTTATTAAACCTGTCCCGACATACGCGTCAGTGTAATGGACTATAATAAAAAGCGACGAAGAACAACTGTTAGGCCACTTTGAAAGGCGAATACTTAGACACATATACGGACGAGTACAAAAAAGCGGGATATGGCGTAGGCCCTACAATTTTGCATTGTATCAATGCTATAAAAAATGTAACATCGTCCGGTCTATTAAAATTAATAGACTAAGGTGGCTAGGATACCTTGAAAGAATGGACACTGGAGACCCACAAAGACAGATATTCTATCAAGAGCCAGTAGGAACCAGGAAGAGAGGCAGGCCAAGATCTAGATTCAAAACTCAAGCCGAAGATGACTTAAGGAATCTAGGGCTCAGAAATTGAAAAGACAGGGCGAAAGATAGGGGAGAATGGAGACTAATTTTTGAACACTTTGGACTCCACTTTAGAAAGCTTACAGCTTAAACTATTTTGAAGCCTTTTTTGTGCAGGTCCTTAACTATCTTCTCTGTACTACATGCAGAATGTAAAATTTTTTACCATGACCTTTATTGGTCTTTCCTGCTTGTTTTTGAGCAAAGCCTTTTGCCCCATTTTAAAGCATAATATTTATTATCATCTTAAATGGTATGTATTCAGTGTTCCTATTTAGAACACCTAACATCAAACTCGAGTCATTTAACCCTAATTTGGTAATAATGAATTCAATAATACGTTTTAATTTTCTTTACCAAAACTCTTAAATTAAAATTTTATTAAATGTATAATAATCATTCCCGTAATTACAAAAACGATTTTTAAGGTAAGGCACCTACGCCCCTGCATCAAAGAAGGGCCACAGTTGAGCAATATATTCTTACTGTCCGGGACGTTTTGTATCCCATAATTTGGATTAATTTAAGGAGCGAAGAATACATTTCTTTATTAAATATTTCATCAAGCCAAGAGGCTTCTTTTCGAGAAAGTGGTGTTAAAAACGTTTAATTTTATCATAAAAATTGGGGTTTGGTAAACGTTTAGGGCTTTGAGTGAAAGAAAAGTGTAATGTGATCGCAAATTTGGAGAGATGGGGCTTTTGTTTTATTTAAATTCTTTTACTTTTTGTACTTAACTAATTAGCTAAAAATACCTGGTGTCATATTTTTTATGTCATGTCATTGTGAAATTGTTTATAATCCGTTATAATTATAAGAAAATAATACCAATTCTGGTTTCCATGCTTATGCTATTATGAAGCTGATTTTTATTAATTAACTTAATTAATTAATTATTTTAATTATTTATTACAAGGAAAATCAAAAATAAATAAAATTATGAAATAGATTAATTTCTCAGGGCTAATTTGTCATATTGATTTCTTTTATTTCGTGGCTTCTAGCATTTCCTAGTTGCGTGCTTTATCCTGGATAAACAAGTAAAATAAATAAAAGAAACCCAAATATTATAAAACATAAAATACCATATATTTATGGACGTTACGAACTCATCACTTTATAGCCCCCTATAAAATTATTAGACCTACCGAGATATAGTAAACTGATCACCGGCATCCTTTGGAGATAGGTAAATTCATCACCGCAGGTAGGTAAACTCATCACCAGTATTTTTGTCCCAAGGCGATGGTTTCTAATGGAAACTAATTATAATGGAAATTGTGTCTAGTAAGAAAAATAGCCGAAGTCCTATAGAATTAAGTGGTCAATCACCAAAAATTATTTTAGGCTATACGAGATGTTGCACGTGGCATGATTTAGGTAGTTTTTAATAGAACACCATCTTTAATATTACACCGATTCGCACTTATTATTATTACCGTACTTTTCTCAAAGGGCAGTTACAATCATAGATATGTGATCTGCACCTTTCAAAATTCTATGAAACTAAGTATTGACCAAAGGTCCAACTGACACCACTATAGGAAATCAACTAATGAAATATAAAATTATATAGAATATTTTTTTAAGTAGATTGAATAATCCAGATCTCACACTCAAACCTGTCTATAATAATTAGGGTGCTAGTTTGAGAGCAACTTAAGTGGACAAAAAGTATGAATGCAAGAAATAGACTAAACAATATATTAGAGTGGGTAGTTGACCACGATAAAATGGTCTACCAAGCACTATTATTACTGTAGAAAAGAAGAATACTGAATATGCAATTAAATTACTAAAACTAAAATCAAAATTGAAAGCAAAATATATAAATGGGTTATAATCCAAGTAGTTCAGTTGAATCCACAGTTAATGGAAAACTATAAAATTAATATGGAAATACTCAGTGCAGGAAGTCTAAACCGTCGAGATGGGCCCTCTACGAGGTGAAACTGTAATAAAGTTCTTAAAAATAGATTTAAATTTAGTACAATTTAAAATAATTTGAGTATTAAGACACTGAGAGTTTTCATTTGTTTCCTTTGTAATCTCCAAATCTTCCAATAAATCCAACTCCAGATAGTTTTTCTTTCTACTAATGTCATGTAAGATAGATGAACCAGAATTTTTGTTAAAATTGTGGTTGCTGGATAATAAGTGTTGACCAAAACTTGAAGAGTTTGGTCTTTTCAAATGTTCAGAAACTCTAGTGGATAACTTTCTGATAGTTCTACCTGCATAAGAGGCATCACAATCATCACATTTTAATTTATAAATACCACTTTTAGCAAGTGTGTATTAAGAAGGATCTATCTTTCGTGTTGATCAAGAAGGAACCTAAAGTGTTGTGTGACTTAAAGGAAATTTTGATGTTATCAATTGTAGAAGTAAAAAGTTTAGATATTTTATCTTTATCTCTATCGCTAAGGATTCTACTCATTCAAGTATACAAGAACATATTTACACAGTATCAGATCCAATCAACTTTTATAATAAAAAAATAAAATTTAACTGGCAAGACAGATATACTCTGCCAAATAATTTATAGAAGTCATACTAACACCTTATTAAAAAGAACACTTTTACTTCAAACTTAGCAAACCGCATTTAAAAAAACGGTGTTCAATTTTAACTTTTTCCATTAGCCTAAAGCAAATAATTCGGGATATTCTACAGATCAGGATCAATCCAGTTCCACAACCGATAACTTCAAAGAACAAAATAAAGTGCTCATATTGTCCTGCAAAAAAATAGATACACACAACACTTTTGTAGTTCTAGGACAAAAGCAATATGCAAAGAACACACTGGAAAAACAACATTGGTGTGTAGTGATTGCATTCTGATTCCTGAGAGTGATGCATCTGAATGAATAATAAATTTGTAAAATCTAAATTACTGCAAAAATCTATGTTACTTATATTACAAATCCTTAATATAATATTGATTACTTTTGACTTAACCTTCGAAAACTAGCCTACATAGTTCAATTTTATAAGGCCATTATTGATTTTATACTTATTTTATTTTATACTTACACTTATTTGTCTGGCAAACGTGGTTCAAATTAGCTGTATGGTTTACATTTTGTAATCAGACAATTTGTAATATAAAAAAAGAATATATTTAATTAGACCTAAAAATATTATTTTTATGCTGACTGTAATTTTTTCTACAACTTTAGAAAAAATACAAATAAGTCTACACGGGACTTATAGCGTAACGTAACTTAACGGGACATTTCCCAGGTTAAACTATCTGTCTTTATTCGTTCAGTTTTTTTGACATGTCTTTCATTTGGTAATCAAAATAATGATTCTGTCTTTTAACTGATGCGTCATAAAAATTTACACATAATATTTTACGATTATTTTCTGAAAATTTTTCGTAACATTTTTTTTACATGCTTGTTTACAGGATTGCTCTAGACATTTGGTCGGAACATAATTTCCTATGCCATAAACAAATTCTTTGCCCTCAGCTTCAGCTCGTTTTTTGATATTTATTATTATTATTTTTTTACTTTTGACACGTTTTCGTGATTTAAGTCCTTTTGATTTCCCCTGTACTTTATTGTCAGACTGCCCATTATTCATGTTATATACTCATTACATAATGAAAATGACATATTAACATTAGGACCAAAACTGATTTTGTCGGAAGTAATACTTCCTGAAGTTGAAGTACTTGACCCCTCTTCATTTTAAGGACAACATTCACTTTCTTTGATTTGACGGCGTTTTTTGACTTCGTTTAACTGACTTACTGAAACAAAACTTATATTCAGCAATTTTCCTCAAATTTACAATATCGCATCAATAATGAAATCCTCTAGTGTAATAGTGCCAAGAAGATA